TGAATTACTATGGGGGGTGAATTACTATGGGGGATGAATTACTATATGGGGGATGAATTACTATGGGGGATGAATTACTATGGGGGATGAATTACTATGCTTACTATGGGGGAATATTACTATACTTACTATGGATGACACATACACATCATTCATCTACTCTTGGTCCGGCCCCCGGGTCCAATATATGAACCCATTGCGGCCCTCAAGTCAAAAAGTTTGCCCACCCCTGGTGTAGGCACTGATACTGGTATCAACGCATTCCTAATTTTGGACATTTACTTTGGCGTGCAACAGCTGATACAGCGGTGTGCTATTTATTTTATTATGGTTTATTAGGTGTTTTTGCCACTTACTGTATAATAAAGAAGCACCAGGTTGATACATATATTTTTTTGTCTATGGCAAACTTTAACCCCTGGCGCCGGTGCCTCCCGGCCCTTTAAGGGTTCCAGAAGCCGGGAGGCGGGGGGGGCTGGGTTTAAGGGTCATGTGACCGCCATGATTTGCTGTCACGGCGGTCACATGATCGGGAAAGGTCCCAATTGAAAGAGGAGATCGAGACCTTTCCGTGAGTACCGGACATGTGTGCTGGGTGCACGCTCTCAGCACATATGTGTTTTTTCAATAGAACGCAAATGTGCGGCCGCACGGCGTCTAGGCCCAGATGCCGGGAGGCCGCACATTTGCGTTTGGCTGGCACCTAAGAGGTTAAGTTCACTTTCATTTTGAACACATAAATGGGTTAAAAGGAGGGCACTAGCGATGGTCTATGTGACAGTGCAGCTGTGGGTCTCCATGACCCCTAACATTTGCCTCTTGTATTTTTAGCTCAGCCGTGGGATCTCTGCTGAACACAATCCTAACCTTTCCATCCCCAGAGTCCTGTTACAGCAAGACGTCTCAGAACGACAACCTGAGAGCGGGAAGGGGGGGGGGGGGATTTGTCTGGGGGGGGGGGGACCACACAGGACCACATGGGTCTACAGCTTACTGGTTACTACCACACACAGTCACTGGTGTCACTCACTATTAACCACTTCCCTACTGGACCAATTCTGACAATTCTCTCCAACATGTAAGAATTTGTATTTAACCACTTCCCGTCCGGCCGTTGTATATATAAGCAGCCAGACGGTGGCAGTGCAGGGGCGGGTGGCTGTTAATAAACGGCCTCCCCGCTCCCTGTTTATGTGCGCTCCCTGGGAGCACGCAGCACCGCGATCCGGTGCCCGTTGTGTCCTCCGGACACAGTGGAACACCGATCGCTGTACGGGACCTCTGTGTGAGGTCCCGATCATGTGATCTCTGATTAGCCAATCAGTGATCACATGCAGAGTAGTAAGCAGGATGTCACTTCTGACATCATTGCTTACTACTAGTGAAATCTGTGAATGGTCACAGAGATCACATGGTACAGGGCTATTCACAACAGCCTTGTACCATGTGACAAGCTGTGACCAATCACAGCTCACACAGTAGTTCTCAATGGCTGCAAGAATGCAGCCAGAGAGAAGGAGAAATGATTGCTTTTACAGCCTTTATGGGTGCAAAAGCAATCAGTGTAAAAAAAAAAAAAAAAAAACACCCCCCACAAGTAGTAGTGTTACCATGGCGACACTGTACTGCTAGGGTGACAGTATGTAAAAAAAAAAAAAATAAAAATAAATAATTAAAAAAAAAAAAAATAAAAACGCAAAAAACAAATGTTTAAAAATTATAATTTTGGTTATAAAAATTAATTTGGGTGTTTTTTTTTTTACTAAAAAGATAACGGAATACATTTTGGCCAATATTTATGATGAAATATTATTTGCAAAATTTTATAAGAAAAACACTTTTTTTCAAAATTTTTGGACTTTTTCATTTACGTAGCAAAAAAAAAAAAATCCCACTGGTGAATAAATATCACCAAAATAAAGCTTTATCTGCCCAAAAAAATGCTAAAAAAATTCATATGGGTACAGTGTCGCATGACCGCGCAATTGTCATTTAAAGTGTGAAAGCGCTGAAAGCTGAAAATTGGCCTGGACAGGAAGGGGGTGAGTGTCTGGACTTGAAGTGGTTGAGAAAAAAAAAAAAAAAAACTTAGAATCTCCAAACATCATATATTTTTTAGCAGAGGCCGTAGAAAATAAAATGGTGGGTGTTGCGATTTTTTTATGTCACATGGTATTTGCGCAACGGTTTTTCAAACGCAATCTGTAAATTAATTTTTATTGCACACAAACACTATAGAATGCCTATTTTTTGGTTAAAACGTAAATTATGTTACACGGAGTAAATTGATACCCAAACATGTCACAATTTAAAATTGCGTACGCCTGTGGAACAGCGCCAAACTGCGGTACCTAAAAATCTCCATAGGTGATGATTTAAAAGACTTTACACTTTTTTTCTTTTATTTTTATTATCTATACATTTTTTTTTACCGTTTCTTAATTTTTTTTTTCAATTAAACTTTACTGCTATCCCTTGTGACAGCATGAGCCATGACAGGTCCTCTTTATGGAGAGATCTGGGGTCTGATTAGACCCCCAAATCTCTCCTCTGGTCTCCAATGCAGCTGATCAGACACAGATTGGTGTAACAAATGTATAGTGTATGTATGAACTCTTGCAGTATGCTGTCACTCAATAAAAAGCCTCATAAAAAATAAAAGAAGTTTTTCTTAGCACACAATTATTTGACCGGTGGACAGGTGGGATGCTGCCGCCTTCAGACCGGGTTCACACTATGCGGTGCAGGACACTGCATGTAACTCGCACAGGAATCGCACCGCATTCCTGTGTGAATTACATGCAAATATTTGTGCGGGGCGATTAAAGCCATACATTTTGTATGGCTCGAAAAGCATCGCATCCGCCCCAAAAATCCGCACCTGAATTGCATCGCATGGGAGTTCTCACACGTGCGATGAGATTTCTGGCAATCGCGTTTTACGATCTGTTTTGGGGTGTCATTAACCTCTTCACGCCGGTCGCACGCAAATGTGCGGCCTCCCGGCGTCTGGGCCTTGACGCCGAGCGGCTGCATATTTGTGTGCAATTAACAAAAACATATGTGCTGAGAGCGCTCCCAGCACACATGTCCGGTACTCACGGAAAGGTCCCGATCTCCTCTTTCGACCATGTGATCTCCGTGACGGCAAATCACGGCGGTTACATGACCTTGAAACCCCGCCCCTCCTCCCGGCTTCTGAAACCCTTAAAGGGTCAGGAGGTGCCGGCGCCAAGGGGTTATTTTATCATTGACTCCCGCATAAACGCGATGTGATTGCAATGCAGTGTGGGAAATGCACAGGATTCGCAGCGTTTCCCGCACTGCGTGTGTACCGGGGCTCAGGGGTAACAAACCTGACAACTACTAGCGGCTGATTTCTGGTGACTGTCAACGTGTTGAGCATATTGACTGTCAGCATATTGAAGGCAGCAATCTTTTCAAGATGATCGGTTTCAAAACAAAAAAAAAAAAAAAAAAACCTGTACAGGAAGCCTCAGATGGAAGCTGCCATTCTGACTCCACAGATGAGTACTCATTTTTAGAAAGGGGTGTCACCCATGGTGAAGTGATCTGGTTCAGATTCACTGCCCAGAAGCCTTTGCACCTCCGTCTATGGCTCCTTTCTGTTGCAAAATTCTCCATCTGCTGCTTTTGTGGCAAGTAGCCCCACCTAGTGCTGGCAATGCTGCTGCACCAGCAAACATCTTTTTAAAGCCGAACTAAACTCCCAAAAGGAAGTTCGTTCCATTTTACCAAGCACAATTGGGGAAATTTCTTTTTCCATTCCTCATTTTTTTTTACCCTGCCCTCCTCTGCTATTCCAGCCTAGGCTACAATGACACGCAATTGGTTCTGCAGCATCTTGGGATATTTAGGCTAGGTTCACATCTGTGCGGGTGGTGCCGCTGCAGATCCGCATGAAAATCTGTGCAGCCGCACCACCCACACAGAGCAATGCAGACCGCGGGCGGGGGCCATTAGTTCTAATGGCACGCCGCCCGCACTGGAAAACGCAAGCGTACTGGGAACCGAGGTTCCCGTGCAGGCTGCATTTTCAGAAGTGCAGGGACTTCTTCCCTGCGTGGCACGGGACATGGGAGTCCATTCAAATGAATGAGCTCTTGTGCCTGCGCAAAACACGGCCCGCATGGCTGCATATATGTAAACCAGGGGTTACATTACATCTCACAGAGCAGCGAGGGGTGTCCCAGAGGGCGCACAAGTCCTGCACATCTTAGGACCTGGCTGCCTACATCCAGAAGAGGCAGTCAGTGGAAGTGGACCAAAATCGCAGCAGGACCCGCTGTTTGGGGACAACGCTGCATTTTCTTTGCGGCCGAGTATGTACTTTGAAGAGCACTACAGCACTACTACACGCCAGGGTGATCAAAACAAAAGATGTACATAGTTACATAGTTAGTCTGGCTGAAAAAAAGACAAAAATCCATCCAGTTCAACCATCAAAAAAAAAAAAAAAAGTTATAATCCTACACCCAGAGTTGATCCAGAGGAAGGCAAAAAACCCAGCAAAGCACGATCCAATTTGTTCCTGCAGGGGAAAAATATTCCTTCCTGATCCCCCGAGAGGCAATCGGATATTCCCTGGATCAACTTTAACTATAAATGTTATATCCAGTTATATTGTGCAAAGTCTTACAGTTTATTTTCTATAAAAAAACCAGACACAGCAGGAGTGGAAAAGCCTGTCACCTGCCAGCATGCTGCTGAGAAAGACTCTTGTTATCTGTATGGAAGCAGTGGTCTATCTGCAGAGGTCTGACAAACCCCATGCTGAGTCAGTGCTAGAGGGAACATTACATTCGCAGAGCAATAGGTCTGACTCACAGTGTGCAGTGAAATCAGAGTAAGCAGTCTGTACATCTGTGCAGGACTGTTCTGCTTTAAAGATTCCAACAATTTATTTCTTTTGGCAGCTTGGAGTGGCGGACCTAAAATCATCTCAAGAAGGAAACTGCAATTAAAAAGACATAACTCACCAGAGCTGGTGACCTGAGGGTGAGGCACAGGGGGCTGGGGAAACATCCCGGGACCAGACGTTGGTGGGTATTGTCCGCCAGGGGGGTAATAGCCAGGATAGCCACTGCAAGCACAGAACAGAAACACTTAGGATACAAAGGTGAAAATGCAACAAGCTTAGAGTGTGCATAAAGCACCTCTCCACCTGTCCATACAGTACTGACTGGTCACTCCTACACCTGTCCATACCATACTCACTGTCCACACCTACACCTGTCCATACAGTACTGACTCGTCACACCTACACCTGTCCATACCATACTCACTGTCCTGTCCACACCTACACCTGTCCATACAGTACTGACTGTCCACACCTACACCTGTCCATACAGTATTGACTTGTCACTCCTACACCTGTCCATACAGTACTCACTGTCCACACCTACACCTGTCCATACCATACTCACTGTCCACACCTACACCTGTCCATACAGTACTGACTGACTCCTCACACCTACTCCTGTCCATACCATACTCACTCTCACACACCTACACCTGTACATACAGTACTGACTCGTCACACCTACACCTGTCCATACAGTACTGACTGGTCACACCTACACCTGTCCATACGGTACTCACTCTCCACACCTACACCTGTCCATACAGTACTGACTGGTCACACATACACCTGTCCATACAGTACTGACTGGTCACACCTACACCTGTCCATACAGTACTGACTGGTCACACCTACACCTGTCCATACAGTACTGACTGGTCACACCTACACCTGTCCATACAGTACTGACTGGTCACACCTACACCTGTCCATACAGTACTGACTCCACTCACACCTACACCTGTCCATACAGTACTGACTGGTCACACCTACACCTGTCCATACAGTACTGACTGTCACACACACACCTACACCTGTCCATACAGTACTGACTCCTCACACCTACACCTGTCCATACGGTACTCACTCTCCACACCTACACCTGTCCATACGGTACTCACTCTCTCCACACCTACACCTGTCCAATACAGTACTGACCCGTCACACCTACACCTGTCCATACAGTACTGACTCATCACACCTACACCTGTCCATACAGTACTGACTCCTCACACCTACACCTGTCCATACGGTACTCACTCTCCACACCTACACCTGTCCATACAGTACTGACTGGTCACACATACACCTGTCCATACAGTACTGACTCGTCACACCTACACCTGTCCATACAGTACTGACTCCTCACACCTACACCTGTCCATACAGTACTGACTGGTCACACCTACACCTGTCCATACAGTACTGACTGGTCACACCTACACCTGTCCATACAGTACTGACTCGTCACACCTACACCTGTCCATACAGTACTGACTACTGGTCACACCTACACCTGTCCATACGGTACTCACTCTCCACACCTACACCTGTCCATACGGTACTCACTCTCACACCTACACCTGTCCATACAGTACTGACTGGTCACACCTACACCTGTCCATACAGTACTGACTCGTCACACATACACCTGTCCATACAGTACTGTACTCGTCACACCTACACCTGTCCATACGGTACTGACTCGTCACACCTACACCTGTCCATACAGTACTGATTGGTCACACCTACACCTGTCCATACGGTACTCACTCTCCACACCTACACCTACACCTGTCCATACGGTACGGACTGGTCACACCTACTCCTGTCCATATGGTACTGACTGGTCACACCTACTCCTGTCCATACGGTACTGACTGGTCACACCTGTCCATACACCTGTCCATACGGTACTGACTCGTCACACCTACACCTGTCCATACAGTACTGACTGGTCACACACCTACACCTGTCCATACTGTACTGACTGGTCACACCTACATCTGTCCATACAGTACTGACTCGTCACACCTACACCTGTTCATATGGTACTCACTCTCCACACACTACACCTGTCCATACAGTACTGACTGGTCACACCCTACACCTGTCCATACAGTACTGACTCGTCACACCTACACCTGTTCATATGGTACTCACTCTCCACACCTACACCTGTCCATACTGTACTGACTGGTCACACCTACACCTGTCCATACAGTACTGACTGGTCACACCTACACCTGTCCATACAGTACTGACTGGTCACACCTACACCTGTCCATACAGTACTGACTCGTCACACCTACACCTGTCCATACAGTACTGACTCATCACACCTACACCTGTCCATACAGTACTCACTCTCCACACCTACACCTGTCCATACAGTACTGACTGGTCACACCTACACCTGTCCATACAGTACTGACTGGTCACACCTACACCTGTCCATACAGTACTGACTGGTCACACCTACACCTGTCCATACAGTACTGACTGGTCACACACCTACACCTGTCCATACAGTACTGACTGGTCACACCTACACCTGTCCATACAGTACTGATTGGTCACACCTACACACTGTCCATACTGGTCACACCTACACCTGTCCATACAGTACTGATTGGTCACACACCTACACCTGTCCATACAGTACTGACTGGTCACACCTACACCTGTCCCATATGGTACTGACTGGTCACACCTACACCTGTCCATACAGTACTGACTGGTCACACATACACCTGTCCATATGGTAAGGATTGGTCACACCTACACCTGTCTACAGAGTACTCTCTGTCTACACCTGTCCATACAGTACTGATTGGTCACACCTACACCGTCCATACAGTATTAACTCATCACATGTACACCTGTCCACATAGTACTCACTGTCCACACAATACTGATTAATCACACCTACGTCTGTCCATACAGTACTGATTGGTCAGACCTACACCTGTCCACATAGTACTGACTGGTCACACCTACACTGGTCCACATAGTACTGATTGGTCACACCTACATCTGTCTGCCTAGTACTGATTGATACTAGTACTGGTCACACCTACACCTATCCATACCGTACTGACTGGTCACACCTACACCTATCGATATGGTACTGACTGGTCCCAACTACAGCTGTCAATACAGGAATGACTGGCCACAACTTCAACTATCCATATAGTACTTACTAAACACACTTTTGTTTTGGTGTTCATTGTTACAATGGGAATCCCATATTAGTTTTGGGGGTTTAAATACGATACAGATTCTCAATTAAAGCAACAATCGTCTTGTAGCAAACATAAATATGCTGGGTGAAGTTTAGCATACACAAAAAGTAATACTGTGCAGATGACTGTACCTGGGGTTAGACGGATGACCAGCTGCAGGATACGGGGGCATAGAGCCAGGTATGTATGAGGCTGGGTGAGATAAAAAAAAAAATTAAATTACAAAAAAAAAAAAAGACAGAACATATCACAATACAGGGGTTAAAACCCTATTAAAATAGGAATATACAAATGTGAAAATGGTAGACATATTCTATTTTTACTTACTGCATGACGCCAGTAAAATTTTGATTTAACCACTTCAAGTCCGGACACTTTCCCCCCCCTTCCAGTCCGGGCACTTTCACCCCCTTCCTGTCCAGGCCAATTTTCAGCTTTCAGCGCTATCACACTTTGAATGACAATTGCGCGGTCATGCAGCACTGTACCCATATGAAATTTTTAGCATTTTTTTTGTGGCAGAAAACTTTATTTTGGTGGTATTTATTCACCCTGGGATTTTTATTTTTTTTGCTATAGAAATGAAAAAGTCATAAAATTTTGAAAAAAAAAAGTTTTTTTTCTTAAAAAATTTTGCGAATAAATAATCTTTCTTCATAAATCTTTGCCAAAATATATTCAGTTATCTTTTTAGTAAAAAAAAAAAACCCAAATTATTTTATAACCAAAAATTATAATTCTAAATTTTTTTTTTACATTTTTAATTTTTTTATATTTAAAATTTGTTTTTGTTTTTTTCTTAACATACTGTCACCCTAGCAGTACAGTGTCACCATGGGGACACTGTACTACTTGTGGGGGGTGATGGAAGACTTTTTTTTTCTTTACACTGATTGCTTTTACACCCATAAAGGCTGGAAAAGCAATCATTTCTCCTTCTCTCTGGATTCATTCTTGAAGTCATTGAGAAATACTGTGAGAGCTGTGATTGGTCACAGCTTGTCACATGGCACAAGGCTGTTGTGAATAGTCTTGTACCATGTGACCTCTGTGATCATTCACAGATTTCACTAGTAGTAAGCAATGATGTCTGACATCTTGCTTACTACTATTCCTGTGATCACTGATTGGCCAATCAGTGATCACATGATCGGGACCTTACACAGAGGTCCCGTATAGCGATCGGACACAGCGGGCACTGGATCGCGGTGCCGCACGCTCCCAGGGAGCGCACACAGCATGTAACGGCGGGCGCCGTTTATAAACGGCAACCCACTCCTGCACTGCTCCCGCCAGTCGTTTATGTACATGGGCCGGACAGGAAGTGGTTAAAAAACTGAAACCTTCGTCCCTATGGAGCATGGCTGCTGACATTTTTTGGGATGTCTTAGGTGTAGATCCAGCCCCCAATTTTTTTTCTAGAATAGTGGGGAATATTAGAACTCCTGTCAGGGTTTGCTTGCTATCTGGGGGCTCCCCTCACCTTACAACTGTCATGTTGACACAGTTTCACCAGACAGGAAGTGTAAGAAATTCTGCAACGTAGAGCTGTCTGTGGTTCTAGCCACGGACTACTACACTTAAAAATAATTCTTCCTCTGCGGTGAATCTGTTGTCAGCAGAGGAAATCCCTTTAATTGAGCCCCAGATAGCAAGGAAGTCCTGATGGGGGGATGCTAGTTCTAGGAAGTGAGGGGAAATCCCTTTAATTGAGCCCCAGATAGCAAAGAAATCCTGATAAGGGGTTCTGCTTCTAGGAAGTGAGGGGAAATCCCTTTAATTGAGCCCCAGATAGCAAAGAAATCCTGATAAGGGGTTCTACTTCTAGGAAGTGAGGGGGGGGAAACCTTTTAATTGAGCCCCAGATAGCAAAGAAATCCTGATAAGGCGTTCTGCTTCTAGGAAGTGAGGGGAAATCTCTTTACTTGAGACCCAGATAGCAAAGAAATCCTGATAAGGGGTTCTACTTCTAGGAAGTGAGGGGAAAAACCTTTTAATTGAGCCCCAGATAGCAAAGAAATCCTGATAAGGGGTTCTGCTTCTAGGAAGTGAGGGGAAATCCCTTTAATTGAGCCCCAGATAGCAAAGAAATCCTGATAAGGGGTTGTGCTTCTAGGAAGTGAGGGGAAATCCCATTACTTGAGCCCCAGATAGCAAAGAAATCCTGATAAGGGGTTGTGCTTCTAGGAAGTGAGGGGAAATCCCTTTTCTGCTTCTAATTAAGCCCCAGATAGCAAAGAAATCCTGATAAGGGGTTGTGCTTCTAGGAAGTGAGGGGAAATCCCTTTAACAGAGTCCCAGATAGCAGTAAAAAAACAACAGGGGCTCTGCTTCTTCCCCACTCTACACTAAATGACTGAACGTACGCTTTGACACGTTAGGAAACAGGATTTTGCTAAATGGGTAACTTACTGTTGGGGGGTCCCTGTGCTGGATACATGTATGGAGCTGGTGCCGATGATCGAGAGAACACTGGAGGCTCTTCGCCGAACACAACAATCAGGATCTGGATTAAGCCGAGTAGGTCTGATGGAGGCTGTGTAGAGGAGAAGTACAGTGAGGACACAATACCATGCAGGAGGTTCTGTACTAGTCTCATGCTGCTACCCTGATAACTCCAGCACATTCCCATTCAGACCAGTCACATGATTTGATTTCCAGCCAAATGACCAGTGGACAAAGAGAAAAAAAACAAAAACAAAAAAAAAAAAAAAAAAAAAAAACACTGACCCTACTGACCGGCCCTCCAGTACTTACATGCTTCCATTCATGCAGATATGGGAGGTAGATCTTGCCATTGGCATCCACGTGTTTCCCGGTTTTGATGGTCATCGTACTGGTGGGTTTCACAAAGCAGATGGGGGGGTTGTAAGGGTAGGTGTCCAGCAGCCACAGGCATATTGGAATATTGTATGTGTTACCTAAAAGGTAAATAAAATATATAGTTACAAATGTTTTCTCAGAAAGGATTTCTGCGTGTTCAGATGGATAGCAAATGAAAGAAAAGCTCCACTGTGAAAAAAAACCCTCCCTCTATTAACTAATGACTTAGACCAGAGGTCCCCAACCCCTGGGCCCCAAGACTGGTGCTGGTCCTGTTAGGAACTGGGCGCACAACAGGAGGTGAGCGGCTAGCGAGCGAAGCTTCATCTGTATTTAAAACTGCTCCCCATTGGCCGCTTTACCACCTAAGCTCAACCTCGTCAGATCAGTGGTGGCGATTCTCATAGAAGCGTGAACCACACTGTAAACTGCGCTTGCGAGGGATCTAGGTTTGCGTGCTCCTAAATATAAAAAATGATTTTACGCCGAGTAAATAGATACCAAACATGTCACGCTTTTAAAAATGCAAATGACGCAAATTTTATTAATTTTAATTAAATAAAAAAAAAAAAACAGCATTTTTTCCTTGCACATGATTGGATGAAAAATCAGCAGAGCTTCACCTCATTTCAGAGCTTCCCTTCGGATCTAAGTGAACAGTAACCTTTAGTAAATCAACCCCTATGTCTTTATGGAGCTGGCTTTGTACAAAAGGGCAGAGTCATGCTGAAACAGAAAAATACCTTCCCTGAACTGTTCCTGCAAGGTTTGGAAGGGTACAATTGTCTGAAACATCTTCACCAGCTGTAGCATTAACCTCCCTAGCGGTCTGATTATGTCAGTATTTCTGTGCTCAAAGCGGTACCTTTTTTTGCATGGAAATATGTCGTTATTTTTTTTTTTATTGTAGGCCTGTAATTCTTAGGAATAACTCACTGAAATCTGTCTGAACAAGAGTCTAGTAAACATCCCGGGTAGGATAAAATTTTAAACACAAAAGCATAAATTATAATATAATAAATAATCATAAAAAATAATAATATAATAATAAATTTAATTCAATAATATAATCAAACCAAAAACACTGAAATGTGAAATAGAGCGCCAAGTTCGCACAGATCGCTGAGCAAAGTCGCAGAATCGTTTTCAGTGTCTGATGATGAATTTCCCCCACGAATCATTATCACTCAATTCTGCAAGTGGTTCTGATTTACTATCGCTGTTCTCTAGCCGGTCTAAAACCGCTTTTGACCTAAAGGGACGCTTTTTTGGACGCCATGGACGTTTCTCAGTTTCCAGGCAGAAAGAACAGTAAAAATGCAGGCAGGGCGCCGGACAAAGCACTCAGGACAAAATGTATGTGAAATGGTTTGATACAGGAATGTTTTACTATGCGATTTTACTATATAGAATTAAAGATGGCCACCGGCCTCCGACGGGGCCTGTACGGCGTGACGTCACCGGTGGAGCCCAGCCAGTGACGTCACGCCGCACAGGCCACGTGGGAGGCCGGCGGCCATCTTTAATTCTATACAGTTACAGATGTGAGTGCATTTACTTTGCTTGTGGATTTACACATTAACAAATAAATACTACACTATCAGTACTTTTTGCTTGGGCTTGTTTATGGCGAGCCCCCCCTCAAGGTGGATTCCTTTGTGCTCCTTATAATTGGGAGTGCCCCCCCCCCCCCCCCCCCAGCTGGAAGAAAGTGTATTTCTGTTGCTTGGAGTGTGATCCTCCCCTGCTGGATAGATGAGTATTCCTGATACCTGGAGAGTGATGACACGTTGATTACCTGTCTTGCGGTGGTTTGTCAGATGATCCTTTGATCCTCACCTTTCTAGATCCAGGAGTGGTCTGATTACTCAAATGCGCAATACATACTCATTTACTATCACTGGAGTCACTGAATTCACCTGATATTTTACATTTGGACTTTGATTTACTGTTTATTGGTGTTTTATCTAATATGTCACTTTCGCACTTTAAAACGCCATACATAGACGTCTTACGCACCTATATATAATCTGAGCGCTCCACAGCGCATGTATGGTATTTCTATTATTATCCATTATATATATATATATATTTATTAATATTATAAATTCAATAAATTTGCACCCTGCGCGCTCCCAGCACATATGTCGGTGTCTCACGGAAAGGTCCCGATCTCCCCTTTTGATCGGGACCTTTTCCGATCATGTGACCGCCGTGATAGTGAATCACGGTGGGCACATTATTTATTATTTATTTATGGTACTTATATAGCGCTGTCAATGTACTCCAGCGCTTTACATATATATTGTGCATTCACATCAGTCCCTAACCCTCAAGGGGTGTACAATCTAAGGGCCCTAACTCACATTCATACATACACATACTAGGGACAATAGAGACAGGAGCCAATTCACCTACCAGCATGTCTTTGGAGTGTGGGAGGAAAAACCCACGCAGGCACAGGGAGAACATGCAAACTCCAGACAGGTGGTGTCGTGGTTGGGATACGAACCAACGACCCCAGTACTGCCAGGCGGAAGTGCTAACTATTTAGCCACTGTGCTGCCCACATGACCCTAAAACCCAGCCCCGCCTCCCGGCGTCTGAAACCCCTTAAAATGTCGGGAGGCGCCGGCGTGAAGAGGTTAAATTAAATAAAAAACATGTTCTACTCACCTGCTGTGTGCAGTGGTATTGCACAGAGTGGCGCCGATCCTTCTCCTCTTCTTGGGACCCCCACCGGCGATCCTGGCTCCTCCTCTTCTTTGTGTGTCTCTATAGCCAGCCGTTTTCTAGAGAATCCACACTGCGTGCTCCCTCCCGACCTGTGTGTCTAAGGAGCCACACTCCATAGACACACACTGTGAGACTTAGCCCTGCCCCCCCCCCCCCCCCACACTTCCTCTTCACAACATCTGATTGACAGCAGCAAGAGTCCAATGGCTCCTGCTGCTGTTCGAGCCCCTGTGTGAAAAGGAAGAGAGGGCAGAAGAGATGCAACCATGCAGAGCCCTGATCTCTTCTCTGCTCTCTTTCCCTTCACACAAGGCAGGGGAGCACAGGGAAGCTAAAAACACATTTTTATCTTAACCACTTCCAGTCCGGACACTTTCCCCCCCTTCCAGTCCGGACACTTTCACCCCCTTCCAGTCCGGACACTTTCCCCCCCTTCCAGTCCGGACACTTTCACCCCCTTCCAGTCCGGACACTTTCACCCCCTTCCAGTCCGGACACTTTCCCCCCTTCCAGTCCGGACACTTTCACCCCCTTCCAGTCGGACACTTTCACCCCCTTCCAGTCCGACACTTTCACCCCCTTCCAGTCCGGACACTTTCACCCCCTTCCAGTCCGGACACTTTCACCCCCTTCCAGTCCGGACACTTTCCCCCCCTTCCAGTCCGGACACTTTCAACCCCTTCCAGTCCGGACACTTTCAACCCCTTCCAGTACGGACACTTTCACCCCCTTCCAGTCCGGACACTTTCACCCCCTTCCAGTCCGGACACTTTCCCCCCCTTCCAGTGCGGACACTTTCACCCCCTTCCAGTCCGGACACTTTCACCCCCCTTCCAGTCCGGACACTTTCACCCCCTTCCTGCTCAGGCCAATTTTCAGCTTTCAGCGCTGTCACAGTTTGAATGACAATTGCGCGGTCATGCAACACTGTACCCATATGAATTTTTTAGCATTTTTTTGAGACAGATAAAACTTTATTTTGGTGGTATTTATTCTCCACTGGGATTATTTTTTTTTGCTATATAAATGAAAAAGTCCAAAAATTTGGAGAAAAAGTGTTTTTCTTATAAAATTTAGCAAATAAATAATCTTTCTTCATAAATCTTGGCCAAAATGTGTTCAGTTATCTTTTTAGCAAAAAAAAATAACACAAAATTAGTTTATAATAAAAAAAAAATAATTATTCAAAATTTTGTTTACATTTTTATTTTTTTTTAGATTATTTATGTTTTTTTTTTTTTTTACATACTGTCATCCTAGCAGTACAGTGTCACCATAGTGACACTGTACTACTTGTGGGGGGGGGGGGGGGGGTTATAAAGATTTTTTTTTTTGTACACTGATTGCTTTTACACCCATAAAGGCTGTAAAAGCAATCATTTCTCCTTCTCTCTCGGCTGCATTCTTGCAGCCATTGAGAAATACTGTGTAAGCTGTGATTGGTCACAGTTTGTCACATGGTACAAGGCTGTTGTGAATAGCCCTGTACCATGTGACCGCTGTGATCATTCACAGATTTCACACATAGCAAGCAATGATGTCAGAAGTGACATCTTGCTTACTACTATTCATGTGATCACTGATTGGCCAATCAGTGATCACATGATTGGGACCTCGCAGAGAGGTCCCGTACAACGATTGATCGGTGTTTCACTGTGTCATAGCGGGCACCGGATCACGGTGCTGCGTGCTCCCAGGGAGTGCGCACAAGCAGGGGGTGGGGAGGCCGCTTATAAATGGCCACCTGACCCTGCACTGCTCCCGTCTGGCCATTTAAATACATGGGCCAGACAGGAAATGGTTAATGCAAGCAATGCATTAAGATAACAAACTTTTCCAGGTTTAGTATCACTTTAAGTGTACATTGCAAAAAAAAAAAAAAAAAAAAAAAAAAAAGGGAAGTGAGTTCCATGTGTGTTCTTGTGGCTGATGCCAACAGTTCTCAAAGTCACATGACCACACAGACAACTAACCACAAACAGTATTCTGTCCCTAAAAAGTTTGGAATATAAAAGAGCTAACAAATGTGTAAGCATTTAGAATATTTGAAGGTAAAACTAATATTTGTTTTTTTTTTTAAATATACTTTAACCCCTTGGCGCCGACGTCACACAAATATGTGTCCTCACAGAACTGGGTTTTTTTCCGCGGGGCCGCATATTTGCGTACCTATCTCTCTGCTGGGAGCGCGCAGCACAGCGCGCTCCCAGCACAAAGACCTGGGTGTCACTGAGAGCCCCGGGTCCCGTTTTAACGATCAGGACCGGGACTCCAGATTCCGGGCCTTGCTGTGAAAGCCTCTGATTGGCTATCACAGTGATCAGTCACTGAACAGCCCGGCCCCACTTTATTTTTCTCTCTCTATGAATAATTTCGTCAACTAAAATATTTTTCGTCTACCAAAATATGACTAAAACTAAAAGTTCAGATGACTAAAATACAACTCAAATGGGATTTTAGTTAAAAGACTAGGACTAAAATGAAATCGAAATTTGATGTCAAAATGAACACTGAGGCCATCTTAAGTGGCCCTCACAGTGGGCAGCTGCGCTGAGATCGTTACCACCAGCACAATGGGGGAGAAGGTGGGGTGCAGCTCCTCTGACAGATCCTAAGGGGAGCTGGGGCTCATCTCAGAGATCTAAGGGAGAGGTGGGAGCTCCTCCTACTGATTCCTGCATCTTTGGGGCTGGTGGGGTCTCGTTGCGATCTCCAGCCCTCCTCCAACCCCTGGCTTTCCAGGAGGCTTCTTCCTGGCAGCGTTGCGATTGTAAGGGGAGGTGGGGTGCGTTGCGATCGCTGCGAAGGGGAGGTGGGGTGCGTTGCGATCTAAGGGGGAGGTGGGGTGCCGTTGCGATCTAAAGGGGAGGTGGGGTGCGTTGCGATCTAAGGGGAGGTGGGGTGCGTTGCGATCTAAGGGGAGGTGGGGTGCGCTGCGAAGTAAGGGGAGGTGGGGGGTGCGCTGCGAAGTAAGGGGAGGTGGGGTGCGCTGCGATGTAATGGGAGGTGGGGTGCGCTGCGACGTAAGGGGAGGTGGGGTGCGCTGCGACGTAAGGGGAGGTGGGGTGCGCTGCGATGTAAGGTGTGCGCTGCGATGTAACGGAGGTGGGGTGCGCTGCGACGTAAGGGGAGGTGGGGTGCGCTGCGATGTAAGGGGAGGTGGGGTGCGCTGCGACGTAAGGGGAGGTGGGGGGTGCGCTGCGACGTAAGGGGAGGTGGGGTGCGCTGCGACGTAAGGGGAGGTGGGGTGGGGTGCGCTGCGACGTAAGGGGAGGTGGGGTGCGCTGCGATGTAAGGGGAGGTGGGGTGCGCTGCGACGTAAGGGGAGGTGGGGTGCGCTGCGATGTAACCGGAGGTGGGGTGCGCTGCGACGTAACCGGGGGAGGATGGGGTGCGCTGTGACGTAAGGGGAGGTGGGGTGCGCTGCGACGTAACCGGAGGTGGGGTGCGCTGCGACGTAACCGGAGGTGGGGTGCGCTGCGATGTAACCGGAGGTGGGGTGCGCTGCGATGTAACCGGAGGTGGGGTGCGCTGCGATGTAACCGGAGGTGGGGTGCACTGCGATGTAACCGGAGGTGGGGTGCACTGCGATGTAACCGGAGGTGGGGTGCGCTGCGATGTAACCGGAGGGGGGGTGCGCTGCGATGTAACCGGAGGTGGGGTGCGCTGCGATGTAACCGGAGGTGGGGTGCGCTGCGATGTAAGGGGAGGGGTGGGGTGCGCTGCGATGTAACCGGAGGTGGGGTGCGCTGCGATGTAACCGGAGGTGGGGTGCGCTGCGATGTAAAGGGAGGTGGGGTGCACTGCGATGTAACCGGAGGTGGGGTGCACTGCGATGTAACCAGAGGTGGGGTGCACTGCGATGTAACCAGAGGTGGGGTGGGTGCGCGCTGCGATGTAAGGGGGAGGTGGGGTGCGCTGCGATGTAAGGGGAGGTGGGGTGCGCTGCGATGTAAGGGGAGGTGGGGTGCACTGCGATGTAAGGGGAGGTGGGGTGCACTGCGATGTAACCAGAGGTGGGGTGCGCTGCGATGTAAGGGGAGGTGGGGTGCGCTGTGATGTAACCAGAGGTGGGGTGCGCTGCGATGTAAGGGGAGGTGGGGTGCACTGCGATGTAAGGGGAGGTGGGGTGCGCTGCGATGTAAGGGGAGGTGGGGTGCGCTGCGATGTAAGGGGAGGGTGGGGTGCTCTGGACATCTAGTCGTACAGATACAACCAACTCTTTGAGGGTAAACTCAATGCTGATGTGGTCCGTGATGAAATGCAGGTTGACGCCCCTCCTAGAGAAGCATATGCTTTGTTCATTTTTCATGTCAGGTCAGGTTTACAACCATTTTCTGCAGTGGCCATGTTTGTGCTGTGCTATAGCTATGATCTTACTCTTATATATAAAAAACTAAACAAAAACAACAAAAAAAAAGAAAGCAGCTATAAAATACACAACAAACCGCACAGCGAGTAAGAGAACACTTACCTTTGTATGGCACAGGAATCGTCCCAGAGAGGCTCAACAGTTCCCTGGAGGTGCCATCGTTGAACACTGCAAAAACAATGAAGGAAATAAATTCAATGAAGATCGGCATTACTCTGGACCGAAAAATACAAACATAAAACATATTCAACAGCGCAGAGAGAGGTGTTTGCTCACTACAGCTAGCTAGGAGGTGACTGGACTACTGACAGATCAGCAAGTATATTCCTGCATTGGGCTCAAGTTTATTTGGATTCTTTTTCCCTTGCACACGGTCATGAATTTTGGTGCGCACAAACATTCTATAATACCCATTTCTTTAGTAAAATATCAAAGATGATGTTATGCCGAGTAAATGGATACCAAACATGTCACGCTTTAACCACTTCAATACCGGGCACTTTCACCCCCATCCTGCCCAGGCTAATTTCCAGCTTTCAGTGCGGACGCACTTTGAATGACTATTGCGCGGTCGTGCAACAATGCACCCAAACAAAATTTGTATCATTTTTTTTCAGACAAATAGAGCTTTCTTTTGGCGGTAATTTAATCACCACTGGAGTTTTTTTTATTTTTTTTTTTGCTAAACAAAGAAAAAAAACAAAGATTGAAAATTCTGAAAAAACGGTTTTCTTAATTTCTGTTATAAAGTTATGTAAATAAGTCATTTGTCTTCTTCACTGATGGGCACTAATAGGCTGCACTGATGAGGCAGCACTGATGGGCACTGAATATGCAGCACTGACAGTCAGCACTGAACAGGAGGCAAGGACAGGCTGCACTGATAGACAGCATTGATGGACACATGGCTGCAATGACAGATGAGGCTGCACAGATGGGCGCTGATAGGGCACTGATGGGCGCTGATAGGCTGCACAGATGGGCGCTGATAGGCTGCCACAGATGGGCGCTGATAGGCTGCACAGATGGGCGCTGATAGGCTGCACAGATGGGCGCTGATAGGCTGCACAGATGGGCGCTGATAGGCTGCACAGATGGGCGCTGATAGCTGCACAGATGGGCGCTGATAGGCTGCACAGATGGGCGCTGATAGGCTGCACTGATGAAGCAGCACTGATAGGCTGCACTGATGGGCACTGATTATGCAGCACTGACAGTCAGCACTGAACAGGAGGGCACGGACAGTCTGCACTGATTGGCAACATTGATGGCCACTGATAGGCTGCAATGATGAGGCAGCACTGATAGGCGGCACTGATAGGCTAGCACTGATAGGCACTGAATGATGGGCATGATGGGCACTGATGAGGCAGCACTCATAGGCTGCACTGATTATGGCACTGACAGTCAGCACTGAACAGAAGGCAAGGACAGGCTGCACTGATTGGCAACATTGATGGACACTGAAAGGCATCACTGATGGGCACGGAAAGGCAGCACTGATGATCAGTGCCCTGAGTATCAGTTTAGATGTCCCCTATGTGGATTGCCGCTTACCCGCTGTCAGCGTGAGGAGAGGACTGCCAATAACCTGCAAATCCTGTTTACAATGGGATCATCTGTGATTGGACACAGTGATAACATGGTAAAGGACTGCTGTGATTTGCCCTTTACCTCGAGCCATGATCAGAGCGCGCCCGATCACTCCATGGGGCGCACGGGGGTTAGGGGGGCGGGGTTCATGGGAGGATGTGAATAGAGCCCTCCCAGAACTGGACGACCGCGCGAATGCTGGCTATAACTCGGTCGGCAAGTTGAATGAAGTTTTTTTCCTATCTACATTATCACGATGATCACAAATTCCAAGTAAAACCTTTTGATTTGTTCATTTATAAAAACTGATTTTTTTCGGCCTTTGAATATTTGTATAATACATGATGGGCCCCCCGTACTGAAAACTTTGGAGACCCCTATTCTAGAGCCTCCGCATACTACACTGTGATCACTTCTTATGCACCAACGTGTGGACAGAGCCATGAAATGATCCGAGCCCCATACACTGTACATATCCCGGGACAGGACATGAGGACAACAATCCTCCCAGAGGGGCGGGGCCAGCAGTGAATTTTACACACCACTCAGTGAATGATGAGTCGCAGGGAAGCCATGGTGTCCGCATGTATGGTGAAACGTGATGATCGGTGTCAGTGAACAGGATACAGTGACTGCACTGTGCTCAGACAGAACAGGTTTTCCCAGATTGCCCGCCGCCCTCCTCCACCTGGTGCTCTGTCAGTGTGTGCCAACATCTACTACGGCAGGAGAGATCACCTTACACACTCATGTCATTGTATATCGCTCCCATCGGATTGGCTTTGTTGTGAAAGAAAATAAAATCTTACATCTGTAGCTGGCTCTCGGGTCCCACAATGGATGTGAGATATAATGTATCGCTGACCATGAACAGGATATACGGGTCCGGTAATAAAAGGCAGATGATGCGGCTTTATTGATATGGGAATTGCTGTTTTCTACGGTTTTAACTTATCAGCTCTATTTTAAAAAAATTTTAATTTTTTTATTAACAAAAGTGTAAAACACAACTCAGCCCTCAGCTACATCACCAACCTGGTCTGAAAATACCAACCAAACTGCTCTCTTCGATACCTCCCAAGACCTTCTGTTCTCTAGTTCCCGTGTCACCTGCTCCCATGAAGCGGAGAGTGGAGAGATGTCGTGTGACTTGAGGAACTGAGAAAGATTTGTCTGCCTCCAGGACTTCTCCTGAGTTTCTCCCATCCTATGGAACTCCCTACCCCAGCCTGTCCATCTACCTTCTAATCTATCCACCTTTAGACAATCCCTGAAAACCTCTCTCTTTAACCCCCGCCTACTGAGCACTTATACCCCTTCCTGCCCAGGCCAATTTTCAGCTTTCAGCGCTATCGCACTTTGAATGACAATTGCGCAGATACCCGTAGTCATGCAACACTGTACCCATATGAAATTTTTAAAAAATTTTTTACACAAATAGAGCTTTCTTTTGTGGTGGTATTTAATTGCTGCTGGGTGTTATTTTTTGCACTATAAACAAAAAAGAGCAAAAAAATTTGAGGAAAAAAAAAAAAGTTTTCTTTGTTTCTATTATAAAATTTAGCACATTTTGTAATTTTTTTCTCTTTTCACTGATGTGCGTTGATGAGGTCCCTGCACTGATGGGCTCTGGTGAGGTGGCATGGATAGGCAGCACTGATAGGCTGCAATGATGGGCACTGATATGCAACAATGATGGTCACTGATATGCAGCACTAACTGGCACACTGCTGGGCACTGATGAGGTGGCACGGATAGGCAGCACTGATAGGCTGCAATGATGGGCACTGACATACTGATGATCACTGATATGCAGCACTCACTGGCAGCACTGCTGGGCACTGATGAGGTGGCACAGATAGGCAGCACTGATAGGCTGCAATGATGGGCACTGACATGTACCAATGATGATCACTGATAGGCGGCCCTAACTGGCAGCACTGCTGGGCACTGATGAGGTGGCACAGATAGGCAGCACTGACATGCAGCAATGATGGGCACTGACATGCAGCAATGATGGTCACTGATAGGCGGCACTAACAGGCGGCACTGCTGGGCACTGATGAGGTGGCACAGATAGGCAGCACTGATGGGCTATACTGATGGGCACTGACATGCAGCAATGATGGTCACTGATAGGCGGCACTGCTGGGGCACTGGTGAGGTGGCACGGATAGGCAGCACTGATAGGCTATACTGATGGGCACTGACATGCAGCAATGATGGTCACTGATAGGCGGCACTGCAGCACTGGGCACTGATGAGGTGGCACGGGTAGGCTATACTGATGGGCACTGACATGCAGCAATGATGGTCACTGATAGGCGGCACTGATGAGGTGGCACGGATAGGCAGCACTGATAGGCTATACTGATGGGCACTGATATGCAGCAATGATGGGTGCAACTGCTGGGCAGCACTGCTGGGTGCCACTGCATGGCACTGATCATCAGTGCCCCAATCATCAGTGCCAATCTGCTCTTTGACAGCTCCCGGTTATCGGCAGTAATTTCCCCTCGCTGTGACAGTGTGAGGAAAGTGTTGCCGATAACCGGCAACTGTATTTACTCCACAATTTGCTGTGTCATTGGACACAGATGATCATGTGGTAAAAGGCCGCTGTGATTGGCCTTTTACCTCATCATGTGATCAGTTGTGTCCATAGGACACATAATCGCAGAGATCGCGGGAGGGTACGTCCTGGGAGGACGTCATCTGATGCCCTCCCAGAGCTGGATAACCGCACTGTAGCCATCATTCGGCTATAACGGGGTTAAAGAAGCCTATCCTGCTTATAACTAGTAAACTGCCTTTTATTTCCTCCATCAGCCCATCCCCCACAGCTATTACCTTTTGTATCACTCAACCCTTCCTCCTAGATTGTAAGCTTTAATGTGCCGGGTGGTTGGGTATGGTAACAGCAAAAAATACACAACTAGACTAAAAAAAAATGTTTTCGTTTTTTTTTTTACTACTACTTTTGGGTCAGTTTTCCTTTGATAATAAAAAAAAAAAAAAACAATCAGGAGATATCCATTACCATTTACCACCCAATGAAAGCCCAATTTGTCCTGAAAACAAAAGTTATAATCCACCTGGATGCACAAAGTAGTTGTGATGCTATGTACAGTTCTGCTAACACATGTCAAAGTTGCAAAATTGTGCTTAGGCATTAACATTTGTTTTACCCTTAAGGTGTGAAGGGGTTAAAATAAATATGGGTTTGCAATCCCTTTTACACTGCATATAAAAAAAAATATATATAATATATAAAAATATATAAAAAATAAAAAATAAAATAAAATAAAATAAAATATAAAATATATAAAAAATATATAAAAAATAAAATTTAAATAAAATATATATATATATAAAAGGCAACATAATAAATATGGTTGGAGATGCTTTAAACGGCCATCAGGTGAGTGCAGACACTTACCATAGGAGTCAAGCGTTGGTTTGAGATCTCTGTACAATCCGGTGACGTTTAGGATTTCTCGTACTGATAAGTCTCTGTATTTGTACTGAAAAACACAGAAAATTGATCATTAACATTTAATACGACACTAAAAAAATAGTAACTGCAAAATTCCCGAATGGATTCTTTTACATAGAAATGTGCATCGGATTTTACTGGGTACCATCCAGGATAGAGAGGGAGGGTGAGAGAGATAGAAGGATGACGGAAGAGGGGGGGGGGAGGGGGGGAGAGAGGGGGGGAGGGGGGGGGGAGGGGGGGGGAGGGGAGGAGAGGAGGGGGGGGAGAGGAGAGAGAGAGAGGGGGGGAGGGGGGGGGGGAGAGAGAGGGAGGGGGGGAGGAGGAGAGAGAGAGAGGGGGGGGGGGGGAGGAGGAGAGAGAGGGGGGGGGAGAGAGAGGGGAGAGAGGGGGGGGGAGGGAGGGGGGGGGGGGGGGGGGGGGAGGGGAGGGGGAGAGGCGGGGGGGGAGGGGGGGGGGGAGAGGGGGGGGGGGGGGGGGGGGGGGGGGGAGGGGAGAGGAGGGGGGGGGGGGGGAGGGGGAGGGAGGGGGAAGGAAAGATGAGGAGAGAGGGGGGGGAGGGGGGAGGAGGAGAGGGAGGGGGGGGGGGGGGGGGGGGAGGGGGGAGGGGGGGGGGAGGGAGAAGGGAGGGGAGGGGGGAGAGAGAGGGGGAAGGGGGGGGGGAGAGGAGGAGGGGGGGAGGGAGGGGGAGAGAGGGGGGGAGGGGGGGAGAGAGAGGTGGAGGGGGGGAGAGGGGGAGGGTGGGAGGGGAGGGGGGGGAGAGGGGAGGGGGGGGGGGGGGGAGAGGAGGGAGGGGGGGGAAGAGAGGTGGAGGAGGGAGAGAGGGGGGAGGGAAGGGGGGGAGAGAGAAAGAGAGAGAAGGGGGGAGAGGGAAGGGGGCGAGAGAGAAGGGAGGGAGAGAGAGACGAGAGGGAGGAGAAGGGGGAGGAGAGGAGGGGGAGAGGGGGGGGGGGGGGAGAGAGGGGGAGGAGGGAGGAGGGGGGGGGGGGAGAGAAGGGGAGAGAGAGAGGGGGGGGGAGGAAAGGAGGGAGAAGGGGGGGGGGGGAGGGGAGAGAGAGAAGGGGGGGGGAGGATTCGAGGGAGAGAGAGAAGGGGGAGAGAGGAGGAGAGAGGGAGAAGGGGGAGGAGAGGAGAGAGAGAGGGGGGAGAGGGAGGGAGAGGGGGGGGAGAGAGAAGGAGAGAGAGAAAGGGGGAGAGGAAAGAGAGAAGAGGGAGGGGGAGGGGCGCGCGACGAGAAGGGGGAGGGAGACTGCAAATGTGGGGGGACGACGGTCTCAGGGGGGCGGGAATGGCGTTTGGGGGGGGTTCATGAGACCTCGCCGTTTAGGTGCAGGTGGGGTGAGGGGGGGGACCAAGGGGGTTCATCTAGCACTGCTGACGACAGGCTGTAAAATTCAATGAGAGGACCCGAAATCTGCTGCGGGATGGCGATGGAGGAACTGAGGGGTATTAGTCACCGGGACACCGCTGCGATTTAGGGCGCAATTTGTGGCAATTTCAGATACAATTTCAGATGAGATTTCTGAAGACTTTATTGGGAGGAAGATTTTCAATGGGATTTCTTGCAGGTTGGGATGGGGGGGGCAGGGGACAATTTCCATTTCACAATTCTATGAGTAAGTGAAATCGCAACAAAACTGCAGGAAAGGTGATGGATGCAAGAACTACTTTAGAAATCGCGCTGCATCAAATCACTAAAGACACTGACAGTCACATTCATTAGATGCGATTCATTAGGTGTGATTCCCAAATCACACCTGAAATCGCACCGAGATATAACCAGGCAATTACCCCCCCCTGGTCACACCGATCCCGACTTGAGGTGCAATTTGCAAGGATATCTGTGTCACAGATGTCTATGTTACTTCAGAAATCAATACGGTTCTGACCAAGTTGGAACGGCAGGCACTATGGGGACCGCTGTAATTAGGGGGGGGGGGTGGGACTTGGCATGCAATTTGCAAGTTGCGTGGCATGCAAATCGCAGGCATGCCAAGTTGCACCCAGTATAGTAAAGAATAGTGCCCCACATCGTTGGTGTCAGTGGGGAGGAATAGTGCCCCATCGGGGGTCAGTGGGAGGAATAGTGCCCCATCGTTGGTGTCAGTGGGAGGAATAGTGCCCCATCGTTGGTGTCAGTGGGAGGAATAGTGCCCCATCGTTGGTGTCAGTGGGAGGAATAGTGCCCCATCGTTGGTGTCAGTGGGGGGGGAATAGTGCCCCATCGTTGGTGTCAGTGGGAGGAATAGTGCCCCAACGCTGGTGTCAGGGGGAGGAATAATGCCCCTTCACTGGTGTCAATGGGAGGAATAATAATGCCCCTTTGGGGGTGTCAGTGGGAGGAATAGTGCCCCTTCACTGGTGTCAGTGGGAGGAATAGTGCCCCTTCACTGGTGTCAGTGGGTGGAATAATGCCCCATTGTTGGTGTCAGTGGGTGGATTAGTGCCTCTTTGTGGTGTCAGTGGGTGGAGGGGGGGGGAGGCCCCATTGTTGGTGTCAGTGGGAGGAATAATGCCCCTTTGGGGTGTCACTGGGAGGAATAGTGCCCCAACGCTGGTGTCAGTGGGTGGAATAGTGCCCCTTCACTGGTGTCAGTGGGAGGGGGAATAGTGCCCCTTCACTGGGGTCAGATGGGAGGAATAGTGCCCCTTTGTGGTGGCAGTGGGAGGAATAATGGGGGGGTGACAGTGGGAGGAATAATGCCCCTTTGTGGTGGAGGGGAGTGGGAGGAATAGTGGGAGGGGGCTTCACTGGGTGTCAGTGGGAGGAATAGTGCCCCTTTGTGGGTGTCAGAGTGAGGGATTAGTGCCCCTTTGTAGTGTCAGTGGGTGGAATAAATGCCCCATTGTTGGTGGTCAGTGGGGTGGATTAGTGCCCCTTTGTGGGTGGTCAGTGGGTGGATTAGTGGGGATGTGGTGTCAGGGGGTGGGGGGATTAGTGCCCCTTTGTGGTGGTCAGTGAGCGGGGAAATTAGTGCCCCATTGTGGTGTCAGTGGGTGGGGTGCCCCTTTGTGGTGTCAGTGGGTGGATTAGTGCCCCTTTGGGAGGTGTCAGTGGGTGGATTAGTGCCCCTTTGTGGTGTCAGTGGGTGGATTAGTGCCCCTTTGTGGTGTCAGTGGGGGGGATTAGTGCCCCTTTGTGGTGTGGTCAGTGGGTGGAATTAGTGCCCCTTTGTGGTGTCAGTGGGTGGATTAGTGCCCCTTTGTGGTGTCAGGGGGTGGATTAGTGCCCCTTTGTGGTGTCAGTGGGTGGATTAGTGTGGGGTGGTGTCAGTGGGTGGATTAGGCCCCTTTGTGGTGTCAGTGGGTGGAATAGTGCCTTAAGGACTGGATAAAGGCAAGCAAAGGTCCGCACTTTGGGAGACGCGCTGTTCTGTAAGATAACAACAATAAACCTGGCTGGAATTACCCCCAGGGCAATGGCAGTCAGGGCATGCTGTGCATTTTAGTTCTCCAAGTCTGGTGGAGTCTTAGGTGCCCAGCGCTGGGGCATAACACCCCCTCTGCCAATCATCCTCCGGAATGATCCGTCATTGATGTGTGCTGTAGGGGGGATCACTTCCCTAAGCAGGCTGTGTACTCGATTCGGATGACCTCACCATGACTCAGGAGGTGAGCGATCGGGTTTCTATCACGAGACTGCTCTGCAACACATGACAATGACAGGAGGAGGGAGGGGGGAGGGAGAAAGGAGGGAGAGGGGGGTGGGAGAGAGGGAGGGGGGAGGGGGAGAGGAGGGGGAGGGAGGGGGAGAGGGAGGGGGAAACGGGGGAGGGGGAGAGGGAGGGACAGGGGGGGGGGGGGGATGGGGAGGGGGGAGGGAGGGGGAGGGGGGTAACAGGGGGAGGGGGAGGGGGGAGGGGGAGGGGGGAGGGAGGGGGAGGGAGAGGGGGGAGGGAGAGGGGAGAGGGGGAGGGAGGGGGAGGGGGGGGAGAGGAGAGAGGGGGGGGGAGGGAGGGAAGGGGGGGGGGAGGGGGGGAGGATGGGGGGGAAAGGAGGGGGAGGAGAGGGGGAGAGAGGGGGAGGGAGGGGGAGGGAGGGGGAGGGAGGGGGAGAGGGGGAGGGGGGGGAGAGGAGGGGGGGGAGAGAGAGAGGGAGGGGGGGAGAGAGGAGGAGGGGGGAGAGAGGGGGAGGGGGGGGATGAGAGGGGGAGGGGGGAGGGGGGGAGGGAGGAGGAGAGGGAGGGGGAGAGAGGGGGGGGGGAGAGAGAGGGGGAGGAGGAGAGGGGGAGAGGGGGAGGGGAGAGAGAGAGGAGGGAGGGGGATGAGAGGGGGAGGGGGGGAGAGAGAGGGAACGAGGGAAAGAGAGAGGGAGGGGGAAGGAGAGAGATTGGAGGGGGAAAGAGGAGAGGGAGGGGGAAAGAGAGAGGGGAGGGGGAAAAAGAGAGAGGGGGGGAGGGGGGGGAGGGGAGAGAGAGAAGGCGAGGGGAGGGGGGGGGGGGAGGGGGGAGAGAGAGGGACGAGGAGAGGGAGGGGGGGAGGGGGGGGGAAGATGAGGAGGGGGAGGAGGAGAGCGAGGGGGGAGAGGAGAGTTCCGTATGGCTCAAATCGCATTCCATCCGAACCAAAAAAGTGCAGGATCCCTTTTTTTTTGTGAACACCCATGCGATGCGAATTTCTGGTATCGCACTGTGTTTTGCGATCTGTTTCAGGGTGTCGTTAATTTAACATTGACACCCGTGCCAGATCACATGGATGCCGTACAATTGCAATATGGTGCGGGAAACGCACAGGATTCCCCTGTTTTCCCACATTGCATTAGTGTGACCCGGGGCTAACAGTTTAAAACAGCCAGTTCCATCCCCAGAATGACAGAAATTACTAACTGTCACATTTGTTTGTGTCATCAACCCAAACTGTCAAACCATCAAATGACTGGAGTCATAACTGATCACTTGTGCCAGCACAGCGGCAAGTTGCAGATCAAAACAGAAGCAGCTTCCTTGGCGGAGGAGGATTTACTTCCGCTTTAGGGGCCGATTCAAACTATAGAAACAGTCCAGATGCTTTCAGGATGCGTTTCCACATT